GTGAGAGACACGACACAAGAAACAGCGTGTGTTCAGTTGACTCATATGTGCTGTTAAGGCCCAGGCTCGAAGTCATGCTGCCTGGACTTGCACCCTGGTTGTCTGGTCTGCCTCAGTTTTCTTATCTGTAAAGTGAGGGTAATAATAGTACTTACCTTGCAGGACTGTTGTGAGGATTCCATGTCATCTATCAATGGATCGAGAGAGAGAGACAGAGACAGAGAGAGACTCACAGAAGCAAAGGGTTCACTGGTGGTTGCCAGGGCAGGGTGGCGGCGACCTGAGGAGATGTGAAAGGGGACAAACTTGCAGTGATGGAGGATGATGCAGTCTAGAGATGTAACATCCAGGCATGGTGACTGTTCTTCATAACACTATTGATAGCACTGGACATGTGCTAAGAAAGTAGGCTTCAGGGGCATTTATCACACACACACATGGTGACTGTGTGCAATGATATGTGAATTAGCGCGACTGTAGTCATGTCACTGTGAATATCCAGACATCATGTTGTGCACCTTAAATATGTATAATTTTTATTTTAAAGTATATAAATTGGAAAAAAATATATAGATAGAGTACTGGGGGTTGAGCACATGACGGGTACTCATGTGAAGCAGAGAGATGCTGTGGTCCAGAAAGTCTTATCTAGATTCACAGCATCCTGGAGTTTAATTTCAGCTCTTCCACAGATTTCCTCTTGCTGTTAATAATCTTGGGTAGTTTTCCATCCTCCTCTGAGCCTGCTTCCTCATAGGAAAAATGGACATTAAAAACTCCCAGGGTTGCCTGGCTGGTGTGGTTCAGTACATTGAGCGTCGTCCCATGGACTGAGAGGTCCTGGTTTGATTCCTGGTCAGGGCACATGCGCAGGTTGTGGACTCCATCCCCAGTAGGGGGCATGCAGGAGGCAGCGATCGATGTTTCTCTCTCATGTTAATATTTCTGTCTCTCTAAAAAATCAATAAAAACATATTTAAAAAAAAAACACAAAAAACAGGGCTACCCTGGCTGGTTTGGGTCAGCGGTTAGAACATTGGCCCACAGACCAAAGGGTTGCAGGTTCAACTCTGGTCAAGGGCACATATCTTGGTTATGGTTTGATCCCCAGCCCTGGTTGAGGTTGTGCAGGAGGCAGCCAGTGGATGTGTCTCTCTCACATCGATGTTTCCCTCCCTCCCTCCCTCCCTCCCTCCCTCCCTCCCTCTCTATCTGAAAATCAATGAAAAAGTGTCCTTTAGTGAGGATTAAAAACAAACAAACAGGGTTGTCATGAGAACAGAATAAATCTGAGTGTCCAATCACAGGTATCAGACATTTAAAAGTATAAATGTTGTTATTGTAGAATCAAAGAATTGGGTTAGCAGAGATGTAGGAATCACCTGGAGAGCTTGCAAAAAGGCAGATTTTCAGGCCTCATTGCCTTCTACCCATTGAACATATTTACGGTGTGTCTATTACACTATTCTAGGTACTGGACATCCACCAAGAAGTGGAGCAGTGGCCCTGCCCTCCTAAAAGTGGCATTTTATTTTGGGGAGGTGAACAGGAAAGCACAATAGAGGGGATAGAAAATGAAAATGCCACAGTGGGAGAGGGTTGTGATTTAAAATAGAGTGCTCACAGGGGGCCTCGTGGAGAAGGTAACCTTTGAGCCATGACCTGAAGAAGGTGGCAAGGAACTCTGTGGACATCAGTGTGCCCGAGTGTGCCAGGGCTGCCACAGCAAAGTCCCCCAGACTGGGGGCTTCAACGACGGGATTTTTTTCTCACAGTTCTGGAGGCTGGAAGTCCAATTCAAGGCATAAGTGGATTTGGTTTCTTCTGAGGCTTCTCTTCTTGGCTTGCAGATGGCTACCTCCTCCCTGTGTCATCATGTGATTTTTCCTCTGTGTCCTAATCTCTTTTTATTAGGACACAAATCATAGTGGATTTAGAGCCCACCCTAGTGATGTCATTTTACCTCAATTACCTCTTTAAAGCCCCAATCCCCAAATACAGTACCACTCTGATGTCCTGGGGTTAGGATGTCAATATATGAATTTTGAGGGGACACAATTCATCCATAACACAGGGAAAAGTACATTCTAAGAAGTGGGCATTGAACTTGCTAGTGCAAAGGTCCTGGGGCAGAACTATGCCTGAAATATTGGAGGACTAGTGAGGAGGCCCATGTGGCTGGAGTGAAGTGAGCGAAGGGGAGAAAGAAAGGAGATGAGAGCAGAGAGGTGATGGGGGCAGGTTGTGCAGGGTCTTGTGGGCCTTGGGGAGAACTTAGGCTTTTACCCTGAGGGACTTGGGAGCCCTCTAGAGCTGTGGGCAGAAGAGAGACTGGACCTAACTCAGGTGTCCACAGACTGAGTACGTATAAGGGGAAAACACCTGGAAAATGAATTTTTTATTGAGATAATTTATATATCATAAAATTCATCTTTTATGATACAATTCAGTGGTCTTTAATATATTCACAAAAATGTACAGCCATCACTACTACCTAATTCCAGAACATTTTCATCACTCCCAAAAGAAACCCCATTCCTATTAGCAGTAACCCCCAATTCTCCCCTCCCCAGCCCCTGGAAACCACTAACCCATTTTCTGTCTCCGTGGAGTTGCCTGTTCTGGATTTCACATCAGTGGAATTACCCACTACGTGGACTTCGGTGTCTGACTTCTCTCACTGAGCATCATAATTTCATTGTAGCAAATGTTAGTGCTTCACTCCTTTTCATGGCAGAGTAATATTCATGTGGATTTGCCTATTCTGGACATTTCATATGAATGCAATCACACATTATTTGGCTTTGGGAGATACATTTTAACCAGCTCTCCTAATGAACCTGTTCCAGGAATCTTGGTCAACACTGACTTCATTGAGAGTGCTGGGGGCCATAGAAGAGGCCAGATCTGCAGGCTGGGGGAGGCTGTTGGTCAAGAGGTTGGTTAGAATTCTTTAGGATCTGAGAGACCTTAGAGAGCTGAGTGTATTGGACATTTGAATGAGCTGATATTGAGCAAATGCAAGGATGTGAGAGCTTGTTTATATCAGAGCCAAATAGCTCCAAACCAGCATGACATCCTGTATGTCTGACTGTGGATGTCTTTTGGTTGCAAGTCACAGCAACGAAACCAAAACTAGTGTAATCAAAATAGAAATATGTTTGGCTTAAGAAATGGAAAAGTTCAGGGGTATTTCATATAAATAGAAACATAATATGTGACTGACCATTTGTGTGGATCATGTTTTTGAAGGTATCCACTTTGTGTGTCAGTACTTTGCCCTTTTTTATGACTGAATAATATTCCACTGTATGGATATACTTTGTTTTATTTATCCATTTATCAGTGGTTTGTCATAGGTAAATTCATAGAGACAGAAAGCAAACTAGTAGTAGCCCTGGCTAGGTAGCTCAGTTGGTTAGAGCATCCTGATACACCAAGGTTGCAGGTTTGATCCCCAGTCAGGGCACATACAAGAATCAACCACTGAGTGGATAAATAAGTGAACAACCAATAGATCTTTCTCTTTCTTTCAAATTGAAAAACAAATAACAAATCAGAACTAGTGGTTGTCAGGGGAAGGGAGAATGGTGGGAATGGAAAGTAACTGCTTAATGGGTACAGGGGTGATAAAAATGTCTTGGAACTAGATGGAGTGACAGCTGCACAATATTGTGAATGTACTAAATGCCACTGTGGTGTACACTTCAGAATGGTTACTGGTTAAATTTTTTCAATGTAGGAAAATATATATAATACTGCTCTGGCCGGTTTGGCTTGGTTAGAACGTCGGCCTGCAGACCAGAGAGGCCCGGGTTTGGTTCCTGCTAAGGGCATATACTTCAGTTGCAGTTTGTCCCCAGCCCCTTTTGGGGTCATGCGAGTGGCAACCACTCAATGTGTCTCTCTCACGTCAATGTTTCTCTTTTTCTCTTCCTCTCTCTCTCCCTCCCGCTCTATCTGAAGATAAATGCAAAAATGTCCTTGAGTGAGGATAAAAAAATATATATAAAATATTTTATATATACATGGGTGAAGTGATATATATATTTTATAAATATAAATAAGATTTATATCAAATATATTAATAATATATAAATTAAATTATCATATTTATATATTTTGTTGTTGTTAATCCTCACCCAAGGATATTCTTTCCATTGCTTTTTAGAGAGTGGGAGGGAGGAAGACAGAGAGAGAGAGAGAGAGAGAGAGAGAAAGAAACATCAATGTGAGAGATATATCAGTTGGTTGCCTTTTGCACGCACCCTGACTCAGGCTGTAGCTCAAATCTGCAACCCAGGTATGTGCCTTTGACCAGGAGTTGAACCTGTGATCCTTTGGTGCAAGGGCTGACACTCTAACCACTGGACACCACCACCCAGGGTCATATTTATCATTTTAACCCTTTGTAAATGTACAATTCAATGGCATTAAATACATTCACATTGTTGTGTAACTGTCATTCCATCTCTAAAATTTTTTCATCATCTGAAACTGAAATGCTGTTCTCATTAAACACTGACTCCCCCTCCCTCTCCCCTGCCCCCTGGTTCCCACCATCTACTTTCTGTCTCTGTGGATCTGACTCCTCTAGGGACCTCATGTAAGTGGAATCACACAGTATTTTTCCTTATGTGTTTGGCTTATTTCACTGAGTATACTGTTTTCAAGATTCATCTATGTTGTAACATAAATCAAACTCTCATTCCTTTTTCATGGCTGAATAACATTCCATTATATGTATTATAACACATTTGGTTTACCAGTTAATGGTTAATTTTATGTTATGTAATTTCACCTCAATAAAAAAAGATTGAAGGGTAGTTCTGACTTCAGGTACAGCTTCATCGTCACCAGAAGAGGGTGCAGTTTACAGAGGGGGCTGTGCGTTACCACCCCCCCCCCCCCCACCCATTGCCAGTCTCCAAGTCAGACTGTGGGGCTCAGCTTCTCCCCTGTCCCATTATTTCCTGACCTCGTTTCTGTTCTGTCCACAGTTCCTGTGCCTTAAGAATATCCGTACCTTCTTGTCTACCTGCTGTGAGAAGTTTGGCCTCAAGAGGAGTGAGCTCTTTGAGGCTTTTGACCTCTTCGATGTGCAGGATTTTGGGAAGGTGAGCCCAAAGATTGGATTTCAGTTTATTTCCATGAACATCTGTCCCAGGCAGGCTAAGAGCTGTTAGGGGAAGGACCGATGTGCCGTACCAGGCCATCATCAAGTGCAAAGAGCCTGGTTTAGGATGTGCGGAATTGGGTTCGAGTCCCTGCTTCATCACTTGATGTGTGACCTCAGATATGTGGCCGTGCCAGTCTGAGTCCTAGGGAATGTCATCCTATCCTTTTTGAGTGGTTATGAGGATTAACTAGATCAACAGGACTAAGTGGTGGGTGCTCAGTTAAGGAACACTGGCATGCTGACATGGAGGAGTGGGAAGGTGGAGAAAATCTTGAATTAGGCTCCCAGAGGCATGGGGGTCTAACTTCTAGGTGTAGCCTCAGCTGTTTGGAGTCCAAAGCTGTGTTCTGGTATGTGGGTGAGTGAGGGGATTGCTGAGGAAAACACGGCCCTTGTCATAGGTCATCTACACCCTGTCCGCTCTGTCCTGGACCCCGATTGCCCAGAACAAGGGGATCATGTGAGTAACCATTGAGGTGACAGACAGCTTTGGGCTGACCCCATCCTCCCCATCCTTGAAATGCCCCTGCCCCTTCAACCTGGCCCTCAGGTCTCTGGCTCATACCATCCTGGTTTCCCCAGGCCCTTCCCCACTGAGGAGGAGAGTGTGGGGGATGAAGACATCTACAGTGGCCTGTCCGACCAGATTGAGTGAGTATCTGGGGCCAGGCCCTGCCCTGGGAGTCTGGGGGGACAAGACTGCCCTGGGGATCTGAGGGGGACATGATCCTGCCTTTGGGATCTGAGGGGATACCACTTTGATCTAGGATGGGTCTGAGGGGTCCCTGGCCTGGGGGCTCCCGTGGCCCTGCCTGACTCTGCATCCTGTAGTGACACAGTGGAGGAGGATGAGGACCTGTATGACTGTGTGGAGAACGAGGAGGCTGAGGGTGACGAGATCTACGAGGACCTCATGCGCACAGAGCCGGTGCCCATGCCAGTGTGTGGGGGCAAAGGGCCGGGCCTGGGTGGATGCATGGGTGGGAGGCAGCCCCGCATCCCCCAACACCAGCCTCTATTCTCTGCTCTCAGCCCAAGATGACAGAGTATGACAAACGGTGCTGCTGCCTGCGAGAGATCCAGCAGACGGAGGAGAAGTACACAGACACGCTGGGCTCCATCCAACAGGTGCGATGCTCCCACCCAGCCCCTACCAGGTGCATGCGTGGAGCGGGCCGACAGGTGTGTGTCCACCTGTCTGCGGCCTATGGGGCCGCCCTGAGAGGCCCCACTGTCCCCCTTGCTTTGTGTTTCTTTGTCTCTCTTCCTCCCTGATTTTCTATGTCTTTCACCCTCTCTTGTTTCTCTCTTTTTCTGTCTGTCTCTTTTTTCCCTCTGTGTATCCTTATCTCTGTCTGTCTCTATTATTGTCTTTGATTTTATATTTTCTTTATTTCCTTTGGACATTATTTTTATTTTTTAAATTTTATTTAATCCTGACCTGAGGATATTTTTCCATTGATTTTTTTATTTTTATTTTTAGCAGAGGGGGAGGGAGGGAGAGAAAGAAAGAAACTTTGATGTGAGAGACTCATCGATCGGTTGCCTCCCATGCGACCCTGACTGGGGCTGGGGATTGAACTGACAACCAAGGTATGTGTCCTTGACCAGGAAACGAACCCGAGGCTCTGGTCTGTGGGCCAAGGCTCTAACCGCTGAGCCAAACTGGTCAGGGCTAGCCATTGCTTTTTATAATAGCTTCATTGAGTTTTAATTGCTATGCCACCCATTTAACATACACAATTCACTGGCTTTAGGTATATACACAAAGTTGTGCAATCATCACCACCACCATTTAATTTTAGAATATTTTCATCATCCCCCAAAGAAACCGGATATTCCTTCTCCATCATCCGCTAAGTCCCCATCCTCCCCCAGCCCCTGGCAACCACTAATCTACTTTTTGTCTCTTCGAATTTGCCTATTTTGGATATTTCATATAAATGGGATCATACAATAAGTGACCTTTTGTGTCTGGCTTTTCTCCCTGAGCATCATGTTTTCAAGGTCTATCCACACTGTAGCAAGTAACAGAGCTTTACTCCTTTTCATGGTTAAGTAATTTTCCACTGTGTGGATGGAGGACATTTTGTTGTCTATTGATGGACATTTGGGTTGTTTCCACTTTTTGGCTGTTGTGAATAATTCTACAGTCATATACTGTACTCATTTGCTTGTGGACATTTTCCATTTCTGTCGCTCATTATTTCCTTCTCTCTGACTCTCTTTTCTTTCTCCATCTTTCCCTCTCCCTTTCTCTTGGTTTCTCTGTTTGTTCGCCTCTTTCCACCTCTGTCTCCCTGACCCAGTCTCTTTGGGACTGGGTTGGAGGAAGGGGTCTCACTTTCTTCCATCCTTCTCTCCCCTCCCTGCAGCACTTCATGAAGCCCCTGCAACGGTTTCTCAAACCTGAAGACATAGAGATCATCTTCATCAACATCGAGGTAAGCTGGCCTGTTCCCAGCCCTCCACCTTATCTGGTCTCTGATGCCCTCTCCTGGGCCGCTGTCAAGTAGAGACCATCTGCTGGTCCCATCTGTCCCTGGAGTGTGGGGGTTGGGAATTGGGCAACATAGGGCAAGTGGATAACTCTTCTCTTGAGCCCCAGGCTTCCTCCAACCCTCATCCCTCTCTCTGACTAGGACCTACTTCGTGTGCACACTCACTTCCTAAAGGAGATGAAGGAAGCCCTAGCCACCACCAGTGCACCTACACTTTACCAGGTCTTCATCAAATACAAGGAGAGGTGAGACACAGCTGGCCTTCCTGGACCCCTGAAGGTCACCATGTCCTGCCTGGGCTGGGCATTTGAGAGATCTTGCCTTTACAGACCACTGTAGCCCTGGTTGGTTTGGCTCAGCAGTTAGAGCATTGGCCCATGGAACAATGAGTCATGGGTTCAATTCCGGCCTAGGGCACGTACCTTGTACCTTGGTTGCAGTTCATCCCCGGCCCTGATTGGGATTGTGCGGGAGGCAACGAGTTGATGTGTCTCTCATATCAATGTTTCTCTCTCTCTCTCTCTCTCCCTCCCTCTCACTCTATCTGAAGATAAATAAAAAACATATCCTTAGGTGAGGATTTAAAAAAAAAAAAAAAGAGCACAGGCTACTATACAGGGAGGGTTTTTCCTTCTTTGCTCATGGGCAGGGGGCTACCCATCTCTGGTTCAATCCCTAGTTTTGTCTTTTGCACGCTGGGTATGGCTCTGGGAAGTCAGTTCACCTCTGTGCTTCTGCTTCCATATCTGTGAAGTCAGTGTGATACAGGACCTACCTTCTAGGGTTGTGGTGAGGACAGGGCCTGGCAGACAGTATGTACTCAGTAAGTTTGGTAAATAAATGAACATTGAGCAGAAATGATTTGCCAAGTGCCAAGAGCCTCTTGTGCATTACTCATTTAATGTTATAATAACCCCATATTGGAAATGCTATTGTTATGTCCATTTTATAGATGGGAAGACAGAGGCTCTGCATCACCCAGCTGGGAAGAGGTGGGCCAGGACTGACACCCAGAGCTGCCTGACCTTGGTGCCAGCCACCATTACCTGTTCAGCTACCTGTCCTCTTCCTGCAGGTTCCTCATCTATGGTCGTTACTGCAGCCAGGTGGAGTCGGCCAGCAAGCACCTGGACCGCGTGGCCAGCGCCCGGGAAGACGTGCAAATGAAGCTGGAGGTCAGGGCTGGGCCCTGTGCGGGGGGCTCTCCCACCCCTTCACAGGCCTCAGGGGCAGCAGGGAGGACACTGAGTTGGAGATGACATCATTTTCTGCTGCAGCCCAGCCAGGGGTTTTCTCATCAGGAGTTTGGGGAGGGAGGTACTAGAGCAGAAGGAAATGGACTGAAGCACTGAGCCCTGACCCCAACTGAACCCCGACTCTGGCTGAGCCCTGACGCCAGGCTGAGGTCCTAACCCTGAACTGAACTCTGGCTCCAAATAACCCCTACCCCAGGCTGAGCCCCAATCCTGGCTGTGCACCAATTCTGGGCTGAGCTCCGAATTCACACCGAGCGCCAATCCTGGACTGAACCCCAACCTGGACTCGTGTGTCTAGTGGAAGCACAGAGAGGGCAGGGGTGATGAGGAATCACCTGTGTGCACCATACATCTAGCCTGTCCCTCTTCCAATCTCCAGCCCCCCTCAGGTGGTGGGTCCTGGGCCTCCACCCCAGGCCACCGCCTTCCAGCTGGGTCTTCAACCTCCCCGTATCCCATGGCATTCTTCCTTCCTTATTTCCTCAGGGGAGATAAGATGCTTCTGGCTATAGAAAAGTGCACACCTGTCTCCACCTCATCTTGCTTACCTGATTCTCTGATCCCCCAGGAATGTTCTCAGCGAGCAAACAATGGGAGGTTCACCTTGAGGGACCTGCTGATGGTGCCAATGCAGCGAGTGCTCAAGTACCACCTCCTCCTCCAGGTGCACAAGCAGGAACCTCCTGGGTCCAATTATTATGAGCTTGGCACCTCTACCTCCCTGTATCATAGTGGGGGTGGGGCTGGCTTCTGAAAACTGGACTCTAGGACCCTGTGGGAGGGGAATTGGGACCTTGTCCTGGCCTCCTGGGACAGCAGGAGAAGGAGGAGCTGGTGGGTCAGGCTTGTTTGGAAGGCCCCCGAGAAGAAGAGGCCAGGCCCAGGTGATGTCTGTCTCCTTGGGTCATGCAGGAGCTGGTGAAACACACGCAGGATGCAATGGAGAAGGAGAACCTGCGGCTGGCCCTGGATGCAATGAGGGTGAGGAGTCACACACAGGGTGACAGTCACACACATCCAGGGCAGTGCTGCACAGTGCCACACAGACACACAGTCACACCCATGGGCAACACCTCCCCCCACCACAAGGCAGCAGCCTGTATAACAGGTTATTCACAGCACCCCCTTGAGGACACTGACATGCTGTGGACACCATCTTTATAACTCTTGCCAGCCCCTGGTGGGAGCTGACCCCTATCCCTGCCAGTTAAGGGGTTAAGCTGCTGGGGGTGCCCAGGCTCACACCTGGCTAACCCCCAGGACCTGGCGCAGTGCGTGAACGAGGTCAAGCGAGACAATGAGACCCTGAGGCAGATCACCAACTTTCAGCTGTCTATTGAGAACCTGGTGAGGAGATGAGGCAGGGAGGGCCAGGGGCGTGGCCATGTGGGGAGGGTGTTTGGTCTCCTCCTTGGTGGCCCTTTGCCAGATTCCCTGCCTGCTGCCTAGGACCAGTCTCTGGCCCACTACGGCCGGCCGAAGATCGATGGGGAGCTCAAGATCACCTCGGTGGAGCGCCGCTCCAAGACAGACAGGTGGGCGGGCCCTGGGCAGGGGCGGGCCCAAGTTCTTAGATAGGCGGATGGGTGAACCCAACCCAAATCTTGGCATGGGTGGAGCCAGGTTCCCAAAAAGGCATATGGAGGGGCCAGGGGGTGGAGTCTAGATGGATAGGGGAAAGTCAGCATGGTTGTGTGGGTGGAGCTAAGACCAGCAGATGGCAGGATCAGCACGGAACATTTGGGTGAGTGAGTGAGGTCAAGAGGCGCAGGTGGGTGTGGCCACCGAGGGGTAGAAGGGCAGGAGTCTTAGATGGACAGCAGAGCGGACCCAGAAAAGGGAAGGAATCAGGTAGACAGCTGGTAGGGACTATTGGATGGAGCCAGACAGAAGCACCTGACCCACCTGCTCCCAGGTACGCCTTCCTGCTTGACAAAGCTCTGCTCATCTGTAAGCGCCGAGGGGATTCCTACGACCTCAAGGACTTTGTGAACCTGCACAGCTTCCAGGTTCGAGATGACTCTTCTGCAGAGCGTGACAACAAGAAGGTGGGGTTCTGAGGCCAGAACTGGGAACCCTATTGCTGGGAAGCCCCAGTGCTTAAGACACTCCACTTGGCCTTTGGAATGCCTGTGCGCATCTGTCTCAGACATGAGTGTGTGTGTGTGGATTTATGACTGTGTATTTGGTTCTCCTGGGCTACCCTTTGCAATGGTAAATGCATGGTTTTCCTAGGGGCAAAGAGGCAGTTACTGGCCCCACCGTTTTCTCCTTACAGGGGGAGGGGTTGGTGGGCATGTGGCCCCACCCTCTGCAGGGTGGGTACTTTCATTCTGAACTCTGCTTTCGGCAGTGGACTCACATGTTTCTCCTGATCGAGGATCAAGGTGCTCAGGGCTATGAGCTGTTTTTCAAGACACGAGAACTGAAGAAGAAGTGGATGGAACAGTTCGAGATGGCCATGTGAGAAACTCTCCTTCTCCATCTTTATATCCTCAGAGGACTCTGTCATAGGCACAGGGGCTGAGAAGCAATTCTGTGCTCTAGTCTCACATCTGCTTTGCATTCTGTGGGACTATTCTGAACCTCAGTTTCATCATCTAGGAAATGGGAGGCACAGGCTTAAGGTTGTCTGCATTCCCAGAATGTCAAGGTTCGGTGCAAACTTTGGTTACCAGCCTAGAACTTTTTCCTCCAGTTCCTCCTATTTCTTTTTCTTTACCTTTTTTTTGTTCTTCCTACGGAAGTGAAATTAACATAACAAAAATTTAGCCAATTTAAAGTGTACAGTTCAGTGGCATTTAGTACATCACATTCTTGTGCAACCATGACCTCTAGTTCCAAAACATTTTCATCCCCCCAAAAGGAGACCCTGTACCCATGAAGCAATCACTTCCCAAGTTCCCCTCCCAGTCCCTGGCAACCACTAATCTGCTTTCTGTCTCTCTCCATGTTTATTGCAGCATTGGCAAAAAGTATTCACAGTGGCCAAAAGGTGGCAACAACCTAAATGTACATCAGTGGGTGAATGGATACACAAAATTTGATATATCCATGCAATGGAATGGTATTCAGCCATAAAAAGGAAGGAAGTGTTGATACAGTCAAGTTGCAGCATGCATGAACACTTTATTCTTTTTCGTGGCTGAATACTATTCCATTATATGGAATTTTCTTCCCTCTGTAGCTCCAACATCTTCCCTGAGAATGCCACAGCCAATGGGCACGACTTCCAGATGTACTCCTTTGAGGAGACCACGTCCTGCAAGGCTTGCCAGATGCTGCTGAGGTGGGAGCCTGGGAGGATGGGTCTGGGTCCTGGGCTGGGTCAGCACTTCCTCTGTACCGGGGCTCCTCCAGTTGTCAGTCCCCTGAGTTGGGAGGTGGGAGGCTCTCCTTTGATATTCAGCTTTTCCATCTCTTTCCTGCTCTAAAGAGAAACCAGCCCTTCCCCTTGTTGGTAAAAGGATTGGCTTTGTTCATCAACATCACTGACTCTCCTTTATCTCACCTCCTACATGCCAGAGGCACCTTCTATCAGGGCTACCGTTGTCATCGTTGCCGGGCACCTGCGCACAAAGAGTGTCTGGGGAGGGTCCCTCCCTGTGGCCGCCACGGGCAAGGTACTAGTGGGAGAGAGGGCAGAGGTGGGCTTGGTTCTGCGTGGAATATTTCCCATCCTAACTTTTTTTTCCCCTCCCGTAGATTTTTCTGGAACTATGAAGAAGGTAAGACTCCATACTTCTTTCTGTACCTGGAAATTATGATGGGTAATGATAGAAGGCCCAGGAGACCCTAGCAGTGAGCAGGGCCCTTTGCTGGCTGCTCAGATAGGGGCCGAGGAGTCCCCAGGCTGGGCACAGGTAGCCACAATGACTTTCTTGGTCTCTTCCTCCAGGATAGGCCACATCGCCGGGCTCAGGACAAAAGGAGGAATGAGCTGGGTAAGTCAGCAGGGGGCACTGTTTGGGGCAGGAGGAAATCTGGTCTTGATGCTGGCCCAGGGACAGATCTCAGCAATTATATCAATGACCACATAATGTCCTGCTTATAAAGCATTTGTTTCCGTACTAGAAACCCAAAAGAATTAGAAAATAACTAACTTCAGTTTTTTACGTGTTTGCTCAAACACTGTGATGGGAATGCATGGAACAGAGCAGTCCTGTTAAGATCATCTTTCTCTGCCAACCACCTTTCTTATTCACTCCCTCTTTTTTTCTTGCTGACAAACTCCTGTTTAGAGCCGACTGGGCACACCTCTCTAGTTCTCCTCGTGCCCTCTTCTACTGACTCTGCATCACAGAATCTTGTAATATGGTGGTGCCAGCGAAGCGTCCTCCACCTGGAGGATGGGGGATGGAAGACAGTTTGGCCTAGCCAGAATTCATTTTAGTCGAAGGGCAGGGGAAAAGGCTGGATTCATTCATAAGTCAATGATTTTTTGTGGAATCGTAGCAGTGATGAGTGACTTTTATTCAGCATCTATTGGACCATTTGGGGGCAAATGATAACTAAACAGTTGTGCTTCTTGCCCTCAAAATCCCAGACTGGTAGCGGGAGACAGATTTTGGTTAAGTTGTTATAGTTGTGGTAGGTTTTTTTTATACAGTTGTCTGGAGCATAAAATTGGGGGATGTGATGAATCTGAGCCTTCAGGGAAGGCTTCTCAGAGGAGGAGACATTTAAGTGGACACTTGTGGCATGAGGAGGAGTTAGGTGAGAAGGAGGGTAGACGTGTTCCAGGCAGAGGGAACAGCATGTGCGAAGCCTAGCAGGCAGAAGGGCAAAGCATTATGAATGAAGACAGTTTAGTGTGGCTGAGAAGTAAACCATTTGCAAACAGTCATACTGAGTCAGTGTAAAGGCTCAGATTTCATGTCTTTTTACCTATTTATATTGATATATCTACATATTTCAGCTTTATTTGTAATAGTAAAAAATTAGAAATAACTCAAATGTCCTCAATGGGAGGAAATACATATGAGTGTGTGTATGTATGTATATATCAATTATATATACATACCCTATATACATCATATCTGTGTGTATATAAGCACTTACATATACCTATCATATATACATTTAAAAAAAATTTTCTTTACTGATTGCAAAGAGAGAGGAAGGAAGAGGGAGAGAGAGATAGAAACATCAATGAAAGAGAACATCGACTGGTCACCTTCTGCATGTCCCCCAGTGGGGATTTGACCCACAACATGGGCATGTGCCCTGACTGGGAATTGAACTAGTGACCTCTTGGTGCTTGGGTCGATGCTCAACCAGTGAGCCATACCGGTCGGGCCATCACAGAAAGTTTTATGGGATGGCACTGGTACTCATCCATCCTGCTAGTCGGTACCCACCTACCTACCATAGGGAACCACCATCTGATTCTATCACCATAAATGGTTTTGCTTGTCCTTGAACTTTATAAAAGAGAAATCAAACTATGTACTCTTACTGCATCTGGCTTTTTTTATTCAGCACAAAGTGAGAATCATTGATGTTGCTTATAGCAGTAGTTTATTCTTTTTCATTGCTGTATAGCATTCCATTGTACAATTATATCCACACTTTGTTTATTTCATTGAGAACATTTAGTTTGTTGCCAGTTTTGGGATGTTGTAGACCAAGCTGCTATGAACATTTTTGTCTATGACTTTCTGTAGACGTGTGTTTTTATTTCTCTTGGGAAGTTGCTGGATCTCCAGGTAGACATCTGTTTAGTTTCAGCAAATACTGCCAAACAGTTTTCTAAAGTGAATCCCCACCAGCAGTGTAGGAGAGAGTTCCAGGTGCTCCCCATCCTGGCCACCATTTGGTATTATCAGTCCTTTTAATTTTTGCTATCCTGGTGGGTGGTGAGACTCAGGTTTGAAAATCCCTGAGTACCAACCCCACTGTGGAAAACAGATGGCTTTTTTTCCCTCCTTCCCTCCAGGGCTGCCCAAGATGGAGGTTTGCCAGGAGTACTATGGGCTTCCTCCACCCCCAGGAGCCTTTGGATCTTTTCTACGGCTCAACCACGGAGACATCGTGGAGCTCACCAAGGCCGAGGCTGAACAGAACTGGTGGGAGGTACAGGCTGGGGCTGTCCGAGTGAGGAGTCCTGGTGTAGGTGACCCTGGAAAGTGGGGTTGTGGCCTCACTGCGCTCTGGTGAGGGAAGGCTGGCCTGGAAGAGGCGCCTGGGGAGGGTGGTGTAAGTGGAGATTTCTGAGGCTGGCCTGGCCCTTCTGAGCTGGCTGTCTTCCCAGGGAGTTGATACTGCTTGGCACATCCTTGGGTCATCCAGGTCACAGAGATAGAGATGGACGGGCGGAGTGGCCATTAAGTAGAAAGGTGGACACACACATGCGAGCAGGTGCCTGTAACCTCTCTCTCCATGTTTCTCCCTCCTGGTGTTGTAGGGCAGGAATACAGCTACCAATGAAGTTGGCTGGTTTCCCTGTAACAGGGTGAAGCCCTACGTTCATGTGAGTGTCTCAAGACTGGACAGAGTGAGGGCAAGGGAGTCCTGAGGGGGTTCTGAGAGGGCAGGCAGGCTTGGGGAGACCCCTGAGATAGGGAGGGGGCTGCCCAAAATGGCAGGTCATTCTCATACTCAAGGTTCTGCTGACCTTGTCCCCATTAAGCACTAAATTCTCATTCCCCCCTGAGTCCTTGGCACCCATCCTCTGCTGTCTGTCTCTATAGATCTGACTCCTCTAGGGACCCCATGTGAGTGGGTCACATAGCATCCATCCTTTTGTGTCTGGCATCTTTCACATAGTATGATGTATTTAAGGTTCATCCATGTTGTAGCACATGTCAGAATTTCCTTTCTTTTTAAGGCTAAATTGTATTCCATTGTCTGACGGACCACATTTTGTTTGTCCCTTCATTCATGGATGGACACTGGGTTGCTTCTGCCTTTTGGCTACTGTGAATAATGCTGCTGTCAGCATGGGTGTGCAAATACCTATTTGAGTCCCTGTTTCCAATTCTTTGGGTGTGGACCCATAAGGGGATTGCTGTGTCATGTGGTAATTCTCTTTTTTATTTTTTTGAGGATTTGCTATCTGTTTTTTTCATAGAGGCTGTACCATTTTCATTCTCGCCAGAAATGCAGAGTTCCAATTTCTCCACATCCTCATCAACACTTATTTTTTCCTTTCTTTCTCCTCCCTCCCTCCCTTCCTTTCTTCCTTTATCTTTCTTTTCTCTCCTTGTTCTCTCTCATTCTCTTTCCCTCTCCTTCTCGCCCCCACCCCTCTCGTTGCCTCTGTCTCCTGGGTAGCCCTCCTCATGGGCCTGAGGTGGTAGAAATGCACCGTCTTACATTTATTTAGATCAGGGACTGGCAAACTTTCCCTGTAAATAGACAGTAAACATTTTCAGCTTCTTGGGGTGAGATACTCTCTTTTGTGACTACTCAACTCCACCACAGTAGTGCCAAAGCAGCCAGCAGTGATCTGTACATGAGGAGCATGAGCGTGTTCCAATAAAACTGAACTATGGATCCTCACCGATGAATTTCATATTGTCTTCATGTGCCAAGAATATTAGTCTTTAAAAAACATTTGTCAACCATTCAAGAAATGTAAAAACCTTTCTTAGCTTGGGGGTCATGCTAAAACAGGTGTCTGGACAACCCCTGATTTGTTTGATAGGGGACCAGCTTCTCCTATTAGATTCCCAGTGGACAGCACAGTGCTTGGCACGTGATAGACACTCAGTAAGTGACAGTGGAATGATCGAACGAATGTTGCCAAGTGGGGCTCTTTGCCCTAAGTCTCGGTCTTTATGTCCCTAGGGTCCCCCTCAGGACCTGTCTGTTCATCTCTGGTGAGTAGAACCACCTTTCTTACTTTCAAGTTGGGGTTTCTCTGGAGTGGGTGCCTGAGCTGGACATGGGAGGGGCCTCCAAACCAATCAGTTATCCATTCTTTGAGCCCTGGGCATTGAAGGCTGGGTCTAGCCCAGCACTGGAAGCTGCTGAGGAGAGAGCAGATAAAAGAGGGTCCCAAACTTTAGAGATTATGGTCTCCTGGCAGGAAAATGATGGTGGCGATGGTAATGGTGGTCCCCATTTTTTGGAAGGACTTCACTGCGTACAGAGCAGTGAGGGGTGAAGGTTTACAATGTTGCTTTTGGAGCCCACTGACCTGGGTTGAAATCCTGACTCCAACATTTCCCAGCTGTGTGACCTTGGGCTAGTAAGTTGGTTTCTCTCTGCTTCAGCTTTCCTCTCTGGAAAATGGATTAACATCAACATTTACTTCATAGGGTTGTCATGAGACTTCACAACTGGCACACAAAAAGCACTTTATTATCTGTTGTTATTACTAATAGCTATTATTATGACAAATCATCAATCCTAAAGTGTTCATTCCCTACCCCCCACCCCTCCCGGCCACACGTACACATTTTTACATCTTTTACAATCAGTGGAGTTTCAGTTTTTGCCTTATTTTATAGGTAGTGGTTTTTATTTTGTAATGGCCCATAAAAGAACGGTGCATTTGACAGTCGTTGGCATCTTAGACCTGACATAACACAGAACTGTTCTTATGACCGTGTGTCAGCACATTGAATTCTCGTAACAGCCCTTTGAAGTAGGTGCTATTCTTAACCTCCTTTTTGCAGAGGAGGAAACACGCGCGGGGAGAAGTGATTTGTCCCATGTCCCACAGTGAGGAAGTGACCGAGATGGGATTCTACCCAAGTAGGCCTGACTCTACAGCCGACTTGACTGCTTCTGAAAGTCATAAGAGCACAGTGGGCTTAACACACTCTTGTTTTCACATACAAAGTGCTTCAGCTGCATTATTACCATTTGTCAAAATGTTCCTCTGGCCCTGGCTGGTTAGGCTCCCTGGTTAGAGCGTGGGCTGATGGACCAATGACTCGCGGGTTTGATTCTAGTCAAGGGCTTGTACCTCAGATGCGGTTAATCCCAGCTCTGGCCAGGGTTGTGCGGGAGGCAACCAGTCAATGTGTCCCTCTCACATTGCCGTTTCTGTCTCCCTCCCTCTCTCACACTCTCCCAGTCTATCTGAAGATAAATAGAAAAATATCCTCGGGTGAAGATTAAAAAAAAAAATGTTCCTCTGTCCGGGGTGGACTTATCACCCTCTTTTTAGAAGAGGAAATTGGGGCTCAGAATGGAAAAATCAGTTCCTGAAGTCACAAAGCAACTAAGTGGCAAAGACAGGATTCAAACCGGTCTCTCCAGATTGTGCTCACTCTGCTGTTGCCCACTGGGAAGTGGTCACTGGGGCCAAAAATGGGATGAGGAGAGCGAGGCAGTCACTGTGGGTGCAAAATTTAAAGGGGTGCCAAAAACTCAGGCATTGAGATCTATAACATTATAATACTATATATATATAAATTTATTTTAATCTTCACTAAGGGATATTTTTCCATTGATTTTTAGATATAGTGGAAAAGAGGGAGGGAGAAGGGGAGAAACAGAGAAACATCAATTGGTTGCCTCCCATACAACCCCGACCTGGGGCGGGGATCAAACCTGCAACCCAGGTACGTGCCCTTGATCAGGAATCAATCCCAGGACCCTTTGGTATGAGGGACGATGCTCTAATCACTGAGCCAAACTGACCAGGGCAATAAGATAATATTTAAAAAAAATCAAAACAAGGTATCAAAATTGTAAACAAAGAGGCTATAACAGGGCTTGGAGTAGGAAAAGGTGAATTTTGTTGCATCAGACCTAGTCTGTATTTAACATTTTGACATTTTGTTCATGAGGTTTTTTACATTCATTAAAAAAATGTATGTTTGTATTGATTTTCGAGAGGAAAGGAGAGGGAGAGAGAGAGAAACATCAGTGTGAGAGAAACATTGACCAGCTGCCTCTGGCACACACCCTGACCAGGGATAGAACCTGCAACCTGGGCATGTGCCTGACTGGGAATTAAATGGGCAACCTTTTGGTGCATGGGATGGCGCTCACCCAACTGAGCCACACTGGCCAGGGCTGCATTCATTTAAAAAACATTTTAAAAAAAATTGATTGACCTTAGAGAGAGAGAGAGAAACATTGACTTGTTGTTGTACTTTTTTACTCATTTACTGGTTGCTTCTTGTATGTGCCCTGACTGGGATTAAACCCACAATCTTAGTTTATCAGGATGCTCTAACCAATGACCCATCTGGCCAGGGCTTCATTCATGTTTTAAATTGAGGTGAAATCATATAACATAAAAATAACCATTTTAAGTATAATTTATATTAATGTTTACATTAATATTACATATTTAATATTTATAATTATAATGAATACATATTAATGTTATATATTTACATTTATAGTGTATATTACATTCACATTTATATATCATCTATAATTATATATGTGTAATTAACATTTATTACATATTCACATTTGTAGCATAAATATATTCATATTCACATTTATGTATTTATAATTATATACTATATTTATTATATATTTATATTCACAACATAAATATATTCATATTGACAATTATATTCAGTGGCATTTAGTACATTCAGTGTTGTGTACCATTACCTCTTTCTTGCTTGAACATCTTCATTACCTAAAAAAGAAACCCCAACCCCATTAGCAGTCACCCCCATCCCTTTCCCCAGCCCCTGGTAACTACTAATCCACTTCCTGTACCTGGATTTGCCTGTTCTGGGCATTTCACATAAATGGAATCACATGGGAGGACACTCACTCCACTGAGCAACATCAGCTGGCTCAGTGTTATGTCTTTAATAAACATTCTATTTATGTCTTTCATCCATTTTGAGTTAATTTTTGTGTATGGTATGAAATAGCAGTCTAGTTTTATTCTTTTGCCTGTGGCTTTCCAATTTTCCCAGCACCATTGTTGAAGTGGCTTTCTTTTCATTATATGTTTTTGGCTCCTTTGTCAGAAATTAGTTGCCCATATACATGTGGCTTTATTTTGTTGCAATGGTCTGTGTGTCTTTTTTTCTGCCAGTACCATATTGTTTTGATTATTGTAGCTTTGTAGTATACTTTGACGTCTGGGAGGCTGATACTTGTGGCTTTGTTTGGCTTTTTGGGGTCTTTTGTGGTTCTATACAAATTTGACAATTTTAATATGGCCATTTTAACTATGTTGATTCTTCCAATCCATGAACATGGAGTATCTTTCCATTTCCATGGCTTCTTCAATTTCTTTCAACAATGTGAAATACTACTTATTTCTTATTATTTATCTTGATGGCTGAATTTTTTTGCTCGCCTCCCCCCATTTAAATTGCCCACTTCTGGCCCTGGTTGGTTTGGCTCAGCAGTTGGAGCATCGGCCTACGGACCAAAGAGTCCTGGGTTCGGTTCCTGCTAGGAGCATGTACCAAAAAAAAAAAATTTTAAATTGCCCACTTCTGGACTGGCCAGCCACTGCCTCCTTAGGACTTCTGTTGGTGTCTAAAGGCTGTTGGACCCAGGCTGTCACTAACTTAAAAAAATCACAAGGGTTAAGAGAAAAAGTGGTCCCCATATAGCCATGTGGGGGCCCAGGCATGGGAGCTATGCAGACCTCTCTCTTTGGTATCTTGGCAGGTACGCTGGCCCCATGGAGCGTGCTGGAGCAGAAAGCATCCTCACCAACCGCTCAGACGGGACGTTCTTGGTGCGGCAGAGGGTGAAGGACGCAGCAGAATTTGCCATCAGCATTAAGTAATACCTCCCTCCCTGACCCATCTCCCCTTGTGACCTGGGTGATGCATGAGCCTAGGAGGAAGGGAATGTACAGTCATGATAGCCACCTTTTATTCAATCCCTGGGGTCCTGAGTGTTTAAAAATTTTTTTTTTATTTCCTTTAAATGACTGACAACCCACAAGAAAGATATGCTTCCTAAGGAGGCTCCAAAAGGCTTTAGTGCCCTCTAAAAAGAGATAGAAGTCACCTGAATCCGCAGACCCTGCCTCATGCTTCTCCGTTTGCTGAGTGCAGCTGCTAGCTGGTGGTGACTCATTTCCTCGTAGGTTTTGTAATTTTGTCTTCCGATCCTAAATGGGGTTTCCCCTGTGGGAATCTGGGCTGCCTTCATCTCCAGAGATTTTGCATTTGTTTCTGCGGGATTTACCAACAGGTTGATATCTTTTTTTAGGTTGATTCCTTAGTTTCCCAGACTACACAGGTGGTTTAACCCCTGATAATGGGAAAAAAGAAAATGGAATAAGCATTGCTAAAACACTCAAAACAGGGTTGGGAGGCTCTTAGGGAAGTGGGGCCTCTGCAGTTCTTGTACCTCAGTTCCCAGAGCTGCTACTAAGTTGCTAACCTGCTGCTTAACTCCCCTCAAGGCGGGGCCATAACCATCCTGGAACAACTGCTGCTAACCTCCTCTGTGTAGTTTTCACCCCCTCCCTCTCATACTTAAATGAATGCAGTTCTGGTAACCTAGCCAGCAGTCCATTTGCAGGAAAGAAAGAATCACACTTAGGGGTTTTTGCCTTTACAGACCCTGCCTTTGTTTGTTCTTCCCTGGAGCACAATTTTGTCTGATACCTGGATAATCTGTGTCTCCAGGGCTGCAACAAGATAAATGCCTTTTGTTCTTTATTGCAGCCTGAACCTCTCCTTGGTTGACACAGCAAACCTTCTTGAGGGCAGGCTGAGGTTATGAATTTTGCAAGGGTGACTTTCTGTTTTGGGGCTGAGACAGACAAGCTTCTTACTGCGCCAGCTGTGCTGATGGGTGGCATTTTTCTAGCCCACCTCTTTACGTGAAGGCATATCTTTTCGACAGTCCAGCCTTACAGGGTATGAGTGGGTCTCAGGCCAACTCTCCACCTATGGCAACCCAGTAACTCTTCTCATGTTTCTGTGATCATGGAGATATAAGCTCTGGGTTCCCAAAATCAGCCAACTCCTTAGGGTAGCAGTTCATGCTTACTGCTTAGTTTTCACTTACGTCCCCATTTTTGGTGTCTGGGCATTTCCCTTTTTTTGAGAATTCAGCACTTTTCTCCGCAGCATTTTTAGGGGTTTTCAGTAGGAGAAGGTTTGGTTTTCTGGTTTTCCATACTGGCAGAAGTGACCACCTCTTCATGTCCTTATGGCTCTGTGGACCACCATGTGGTTTAAGTGAGACAGTGTAGGTCTCGTCCTGACTATTCCACAGCAGAGATTTTCAACCTTCTCCACCCCATGGCACACATGCACTAATTAGTAAAATTCTGCCCCACACCAAAAATATACTTTTTGCTGCTCTTACAAAAAAGTAGGTATAGTTTTGATTCATTTACATCGGATGGCAGTTGTTATGTTGGCTGTTGTCATTTTTTTATTTGATAATCTAATGGAAAAGAAGTCAGTGCCCCGACCAAATCGCCAGGTATCGCACGTTTTAGAAATTCTTGCGGCACACCAGGTGGAAATCACTGTCGTAGAACATGCCTTTCTTTGCTGTCTTTCTGATTTCTCGACAACCCTGGAGTCCAGGAAGAGGATTCCTGTTATCACAGGGAGATCTGAAGGGTGAGAGGAAGAAATGCAGGCATAGAGCCGAAAAGGCCCAGGACAAGAACCCGGTTGGGACAGCAGGAGGCAGTTTCAGTCCTTCGGCTCCAGTGGTCACCCCCTCCCTGAAGTAGCCAAATTTGCTCTCTTCATGGTTGGGGGTGTAGCCTGGGGCTAAGGCTGGGCTGAGTGTGGGCCTGGGTCCCCAGCCTCAGGGTTCAGTAGCCATGTCCTCTCTCTCGCTGCTTTCAGGTATAATGTTGAGGTCAAGCACATTAAAATCATGACAGCAGAAGGACTGTATCGGATTACGGAGAAGAAGGCTTTCCGGGGGCTGACGGTAAGGGCCAGTCTTTCCCTAACTCCAGCCTCCCAGAATTTGGGCAGGACCCTCCCTGAAGCTCAGTCTTGGGACTACCTCCCCTCTTATCCACCTTCACAGTGATCCCTCCAAGGGCACTTTGGATCAGTTGGCCTTAAATTCAATCCCCTAATGACCAATGAGAATGATGGTAGTGGTGATGATGGTAATAATAATAATAAGTAACAGCAGCAAACATTTACATTTTACTTACTGTGTGTCAGACGTTATAGATAGGACTCCAGTTAATCTCCTCAGCTCACTCTGTGAGTTCCCATTTCGCAGATGGGTGAAATTGAGGTTTAGATCTCATTTAGTGTTGCAGAAGAGCAGAGTCCCTGTTTTCGCTGGACTTTAAGATTTAGCTCTGCCTAATCTGCTTTATGATCATCTGGCTGAGAATTCAAATGCTTTTCAAGTGGCTTAGTTTCTATTTGGAATCCTGTAATTTTGGACTGTCTTTTAGGCATTTTAAGCCTCTGGTCTAAGGTGCATGGATCTTACCCATGGTCTGTGGAGTCTTGAAATCAACAAAGTCCAGAATCTTGCACATATTTGCATTTTTGGAGGAGGTCGTATCTCAGATTTCACTTGATCTTCACAGGGAGACTTAACTCTCCCAGAGGTTATGGATTGTTCATTTATTCCACAAATCACCCCCACCTCCCCCAACTTTTTATTCTTAAAAATCACTGCCCCCATTTCTTATTTCCGAAAAGGTACTGGAAAAATGAAATGGACTTCATAAACCTTTCACCTAGATTTATTAATAATTAATATTCTGTCTTTTGTTTTCTCTTTCTACACACACACACACACACCTCACAGAAAACCTTACACATTTATTCTGCACTTTACTTAAAAGTAACTTAGCTCTTGCCGGTGTGGATCAGTTGGTTGGAAGATTGTCCCATACACCGAAAGGTCATGGGTTCAATTTCCTGGGCACATCCTCAGACTGTGGGTTCAATCACTGGTTGGAGTGTGTATGGAAGGCAACTGATCGATATTTTTTTCTCACATCAGTGTTTCTTTCTCTCCCTCTTCCTTCCTCCCTTTCTCTCTAAAATAAATAAAAACATATCCTTGGGTGAGGATTTAAAAAAAAAAGAGTAATTTACAAGTATTGAGATCCTTCACCCATAAATACTTCAGCACGAGTGTCCGGAGAGCCAAGACACTGTCATACCTCACCACACTATTAGCATCACACTCAGGAAGCTGAACACCAATGCAAAATTATCTAGTCCATTTTCCAAACTCCTTGATTGCCCTTTTTATGTCTTTTCCTGTTTTTCCCCAGGCTATAATCAGAGTTTACACATTATATTCAGTTTTTAGCTCCTTGTTCTTTTTTAGATGGCAGTAGTTCCCCAGTCTTCTATACTTTTGGTCTTTCATGACACTGGTGTTAACTGATGATAGTTGGTGCCAATTCAACACCAACAGGAATCCCCAATTTGGGGTGCGGTAAAGAAGGAAACTTTATTCAGTGCAAAATGACTCAAACTGTGATACAGCACAGCTGTGAAAATAGCAGGGCCATGAACAGCACAATTGTGATGCAGTCCAGCTGTGATACAGCACGCAGTCCTGGCCAGGCCCTCCCTTCTCCAGCTAGACAGCTCTGCCATGCTCCCAGCCAGTCTCCAGTGTTTCAGCTCAGCCAGGGAAAGGCAGTCTTCAGTGGAAAAGGAAAGTGTGCTCCAGAGCCAGGGCGGGACTGGCTTATATAGACAGAAGCCACTGCCCCTGGTCTCTAATTGGTCTGTCCTCATGTAAATGAGGACTTCAAATCCTCACAGTTTGATTGGTCCTAACGGCACTTTTCTTCTGATTGGTTGGAATAGAGCTGTTCTGGTTGATTGGAGTTGTGCAGCTCTGGTGGGATGGGGAAAGTCTCAGTTGTATTGGTTGAACTAGGATTCTAGGAACTCCTTTATAAGGGCTGGCTCTGATGGCAGAAACACAGTGCAGACAGGAAGTGCAGTGCAGAGGCAGGGAGTTCTCCTTGAAGTGCAGTTAGTGTGAGAGGCCCCTGTGTAGAGAGCGGTGCTTGGCTCTGTTTTTGTTTTTGAATTTGAGCCCAGTTAGCACCAGGAGCCCTTCTTAGTAGGTATCTGTCTTCTCAGGGTCCAGACTGGCAACTTTGTAGTCTAGAACTCTAAAATGCAAACATTTTATTTTACAGAATGTCCCTTAGTTGTGACTTATCTGGTTGTGTACTTATTATTAGAATGAGCTTGAACATTTGTGTAATAAATATTCATAAGTGCAAGCTGGGGATGGGGTGGGGGGATGGGGAGGAGGGTGTCAATGGGGAAAAAAGGAGAAACTTCTGTAACAAAAATTAATACAAAAAATAATAAAATTTTTAAAAATTAAAAAAAAAAATCATAAGTCCAATAAATCTGGGGCTTGAATTCAGATCAGTCATATGTCAGAAGCCAGCTCTTAGCTGCCATATCCCACTGCCTGCCCTGGGTCTGGATTCTGGATGCACTCTTTTCTAGCTATGGGACCCTGGACAAGGAACTTGGCTTCTCTGTGACTCCGCTTCTTTTTTTATAAAACAGGGGTACCATGAGCATATTCACCTTCAGGATTATTAGATTTTCATGATGTGTGGCTACACTCTGGCCAGTACATATTAAGTGCTTAATAGCATTTATTATTATAATTAATTGTAAAACTAAGGCTCCTGACACCCACAGGGGTTTGGGTTTGATTTTGGTGAGCTGGTCATCAGGCAAGGTGATTTTTGTGTAAATGTATCATGAAGCAAATTGGTTATTAGAGAAACTGGCTTAGGCAATATGGTCTCTTCCCCATGAAATGGTCCTGGTTGTGCAGAAATGGAATGAGATTCCCATGATGGGGAGCATTCAAGGAGTCACTTGCCAGGGAGGCCTTGTTGCATGTGAGAAGTTGGATGTGGCTCCTTCCAGCTCTGCCCCCTCGGGTTGGCCGGAATAGCATTTGTCCTCTGTCCCCCTTCCAGGAGCTGGTGGAGTTTTACCAGCAGAACTCCCTAAAGGATTGCTTCAAGTCGCTAGACACCACCCTGCAGTTCCCCTTCAAGGAGCCTGAGAGGAGAGCCATCAGCAAACCCGCAGGTAGGACACCTCAGGCTGGGGGCGTGCAGCCCCAGCTTCTTCCCATCATGGAGAGAAAGTTTGGGAATACCATGGACATTGCTTCCAGTGGGCATGCAGAGCTCATATCTGTAAATCAGCAGGGACACTTCCTACTCCTGCCTGTCTCTGTGCTCTTGAGTGGTTTGCATACTCATTTGCTTGCATGGAAAGTGAGTCAGGGGTTATTTTTTTATTTAAAAATTGTTTTTGTTAATGCTCACCAGAGGATATCTTTCGTTTTCGATAGAGTGAAAGGGAGGGGGAAGTGATAGAGGAAGGGGGAGGGAGAGAGAAACATTGATATGAGAGAGACACATTGACTGATTCCCTCCTGCATGAGCCCTGACCAGAGCTGGGGCTTGCATGTGCAACCCAGGCACGTGCCCTTGACCAGCCAGGGCATTATTTTAAAATACATATATATTGGAGAAGATGAGGACACTAAGAACCGAAAGAGTCCTCACCTGTACCATTTAAACCTATAGGTTGGTAACAATATCAAGGATTAATTCATATCTACAGCCTTCTCCTACAAAAAAGCAAGTCCTTTGGTGCACTTTAACTTCCCTTTCCTTTGCATCTCTCACCCACTGGATTTGTTGAAATTATCTGGCATGTTGGATATAGTTTGCTATAATTTATAATAATTATGACATATATATTTTAGGACTTTTTTTTGTAACAGTTGTATTAAACTCGAAAATACCGTATTATTTAGACTATATTTCTTATTCTCCTTTTTTTTTCTTTATTTTTAAAGTTCTTATTTTGATTCAAATTTTATTTTTCTGGAGTGCATTCTTAAGTATGTTTTTCAGAAAAATCACGTGGGTTGTGTAGTATCTGAATTTTTTATGTCCGACATTTTTTCAAAGAGATATTTAAAAATTATCATTAAACTGTTTTATTACTGGAAAAGCAAAACCACCACAACATGAGGATTCCAAGACAAAAATTATTTCTATTTACATTACTGAAGTTTCTATCTACTTGCATGTTACTAATTTGTACTGGCTTAGATATGAATGTTCAATCCTAGCGTATTTGCAGAAATACTACAAGTTAATTCCAGTACACTGGCATTGTACTATGAAAAGTTTTCTGTGTCTTTTCCCCCCTGCTTTTTTTTCTCCCATTTCCTCTTTTTTGACCCTTGGTCCTTCTTAAAATAATTAATATTGAACAGCTTACAATGAATTTTTCCACATAATCTCTGTTTCTTTTATTATAAATATATAAAAACCATTTTTTAAAATTATAAATGGCCTGGCCAGGGTGGCTCAGTGAATTGAGTGTTGCCCTGTGGACTGGGAGGTCCTGGTTCGATTCCCAGTTGAAGCACATGCTCGAGTTGCAGGCTTGATCCCCAGTGGGGGGCTTGCAGGAGGCAGCTGATCGATGTGTCTCTCTCACATTAATGTTTCTATCTCTCTCTCCCTTCCTCTCTCTCTAAAAAAATCACTAACTAATATATCTCTCTATATATCTATATCTCTATATATATAGATATATAGATACACACACATGCACACACACACACACACACATACATATATATATACTTTTTAAAAAAATTATAAATGGTATTATTTTCTAAATTTGAATGCTGGTTGGGCTGCAAGGATGATTTCAAGACTATAACTGTGTCCCCTCAGAGCACAGAATACCCAACACTCTGTATGAAGAAGCGTTGAAGGACCCTTCATTCTGGTGTTACCCTCCTGAAAGCATTATTCACCTACTGCCCCTGCATAGTGGGCTGGTGTCTGCCCCAGGCCTTTTTACCACCTCTATTCTCCCCTTTGCAGCAGGAAGCACCAAGTATTTCGGCACAGCCAAAGTTCGCTACGATTTCTGTGCCAGGGACCGATCGGAGCTGAACCTCAAGGAGGGTGACATTGTCAAGATCCTTAACAAGAAGGGGCAACAAGGCTGGTGGCGAGGAGAGATCTATGGCCGGGTGAGTCACGGTGGAGCTTGGCATCTCAGGCATCCTGGCTATAGTAAAGCTGTTCTGGAATTGTGGGCTGGAGAAGTTCATGTGGAGGTCTTCCCTAGGTAAGGGGAGGGAGGGACATAGAGATTTCATTCATTCATGCAACTTGCATTTATATAAATACATTTATTTATTGAGCACCTACTATGTGCCAGATATTCTGCTGAGTGCTGAAGAGACCAAAAAGAGCACAGTACAATCACCGTCCTCATGAAACTCATAGTCTAGTGAAGAGGACAAACCTGTAACTATGTAGTTGCAAAGCTGAGTGGTCAGAATTGTGATGGGGAATCACAGGAGCAGCATGAGAGCCCCAAGGGGATCCCTGACCCACCTTAGGAGCAGATCAGGACAACATATAGGATGCCAAGCTGATTGCTGAGGGTTTTGTGTCTATCTTGTTCATTGTAGTATCACCAGAGCCTGGAACAGTGCCTGGCACATAGTAGATGCTCAATAAATATTGAATGCATGAAGAGGCAGAGCTAGGATTAATAACTTTTCCTTTTGTACTTTTTTGCCTGCCTGAATTCAGACTGTCAGAAGGGACCACAAGATTTCTCAAAAAAGTTTGTTTCTGCCTGGGTTATATTTTTGTTTTACAAAGGCAGAGAGTCTTCTTTATTTCATGTGTTGATGAATTCCTAGCCTCTAAAATACTGCCTCACTTATAATGGTTTCTCAGAAATAATTGTTGAATAAAGACAAAGAATAGGTTAGGGGCTTACATTCTACTGAGGGGAAACATATGTGAAAGAGTGACCTGGATAATTACTTAAGTGAAGAGTTTTGTTAAGAACCATGAAGGGGCCCTGGCCAGTTTGGCTCAGCGATTAGAGCGTTGGCCCACGGACCAGAGAGTCCTGGGTTTTGTTTCCACTAAGGGCACGTACCTCGGTTGTAGTTTGTCCCCGGCCCCGGTTGGGGTCATGTGGGTGGCAACCACTCGATGTGTCTCTCTCACATCGATGTTTCTCTCTCTTTCTCTCTTCCTCCCATTCTCCCGCCTGCTCTATCTGAAGAGAAAAACAAAACAAAACAAAACCAAAAACCATGGAGGGTAAATTTAGTGTGCAGTAGAAGACAATTAGGGTTCGAGAGAGCCTAAAGCATTTATTCATCCATCCATTCTTTTATTTATTGAATTGATTTTTTAGGGAGAGAGAGACAGGAACATAGATGTGAGAGAGAAACATCAATCGGCTGCCTCCTGCATGCCCCCTACTGGGGATCGAGCCCACAACCAGGGCATGTGCCCTGACTGGAAATTGAACTGGGACCTCTCAGTCCCTGAGATGATGCTCAGTCCACTGAGCCACACCAGCTGGGCCATTCTTACATCCATCCATCCATCCATCCATCCATCCATCCATCCACCCACCCACCCATCCATCATTCCATCTATTCATCCATCCATCCATCCATCCACCCACCCATTCACCCATCCATCATTCCATGCATCCATCATTCCATCCACCCACCCACCCACCCACCCATCCATCATTCCATCTATTCATCCATCCATCCATCCATCCATCCACCCACCCATTCACCCATCCATCATTCCATGCATCCATCATTCCATCCACCCACCCACCCATCCACCCATCCATCCACCCACCCATCCACTCATCCATCCACCTACCCCATCCATCATTATATCTGCCCACCCACCTACACATTCATCATTCCATCCATCCATCCATCCATCCATCGATCCATCCATCCTTTCAACAAATATTCTTTATTTGTCTACTCTGTGCCAGGGGCTATTTTAGGCTCGTAGCACTTGGTGGTGAATGAAACACAAAAATTCCTGCCTTGTGGAGCTTACATCATAGTATGTTTATGTGTGTGTGTGTGTGTGTGTGGGGACCAATAACAAGTCCATAAATAGTACATATACAATCAATTAGATGACAGTAAGTGCTGTTGAGAAATCAAATTGGAAAAAGGGCTAAGGAGTGTTGGGATGGGTGGGGTTTGCGATTTTAAAGGAAGTCCTTGCTGATAAGGTGATATATAAGTAGAGAACAGTAGGAGGTGGCGGGGGTCAGCCATGTATGTTATCTGAGGGGTATATTTTCTGGGGTGGAAGGTATGGCAGTGCAAAGGCCCTGAGGTGGGAGGAAACCTGCCTGGTATGTCAAGGAACAGCAGGAGGAACAATGTTGAGTCTGCTCTGACCCCTTCTTCATCTCTTTCCAGGTGGGCTGGTTCCCCTCTAACTATGTGGAGGAGGATTATTCTGAATACTGCTGAGCTCTGGCACACCAGCAGGAAGATGAAAACTGCAGGCTGCGAGCCCAGGATGAGTAGGCTGCGTGGCCAGGACTGTGACAGGTCCCGTGGGCTGAGAATCTGAGACGGACTGTGGAGGGCCTGCGTCCACTTGACAGGGCTTCTGGGGTGATGCCCTGCCATGGTTAATTTATAACACACTTGATTTCCCCTTGGGTCTCCTCTGGAAGGTAGGGCTCAAGGCATCTGCTTCGAATAAAGTGATGAATGAAGGGACTGGTGTTGTTGAGAGACCCTGGAAGGGGAGACGGGGGGAGGGGCACCGGGGCACAGACAAACCGACCCAGCAAACCCTTCCCTTCCAGCTTCATCACTTTTCTCTACCCTTTAAAATAAGACCTGAAGAAAGAAATGGACCCCCACATAACAGGAAAGTTTTATGCTCACAGATTCTAGACCACAAAATGTTACTCTCATTTGCTTTTTCTATACTAGAAGTTAATTACTGTTTAGCTTCCCTCCAATTCTGATGAGTGGTAGACACTTCACCTCAGTTGAGTCTGGGTCTCCTTAGTTTTCCCCATGATCATGTTGACATTTCAAGGGCTTTGGCGCTGGGGTGCTGGGGGGGACTGCTGGGATCTAGTGGTTGTTTCTGTCTCCCTACCATCTGCCGAGATGTCTTGGTTTCTGCCTCACCCCTGTTTCCTCTGTGTCTTCCACATCCCTCTTAGCACATCCAAGACAGCTGGCTGTTTTTCCTGAATTGTTGGGTGGAATGACTACATCCCGGGTTACCTGGGCAGCCCTGGCTATTACCCTGGTGTGCTTATTCACAATCCTTTTCATTCTCCAAAACATCCTGGTGGTTGGGATGATAAAATTATATGTTCACTGTCTTAGGTTGGACTTTTCAGAGGCAGAGCCTGAGACAAGGATTTGGGTTGGTGGGGGATGGATGGTGAAGTTTATCCTGGAGGTGATCCAGGAAGCATGTGGAAGGGAGTGAAGCAGATGAGGAAGTGAAGGAGCCTATACAAGGAGCACGGATGAGCAGGTGACAACTTTGGGCAGCCAGGGGGCTCACGCTCATTGAGGACCCCTGGCGGTTGGTAAAGAAAACACCTGGGAGTTGAAGGGCAAGGGAGCTGGGGAGTATTTGGAGCCATTGACCTGTATAGGTGTCATTAGAGCTGGGGAGCTATGAATAGAGGTGCCAACAGGGTCTGCTACTCCCTCCCTAAGAACAGAGAAACTGTGTGCACACCCCTTTGCAACCGTCTCTACACAGTGGATGCTGCCATGTGCAAGGTGTGGGGAAACCCGGTAGAGTTTGCTATAGCCTGGGGTCCAGGGGCTCCAGGGAGCGTTATTTCATATAACTCTGAAGCCTGTGAGATGGGGTGGGCTGGTGGATACGGGGATACACCCATGTCTGACTTGAATGTCCTTTACTCATCAGCCCTTCCCCTCCATGTGGGGGACCCTGATCTATTTTGTTAAGACTTGTTATTTTTCTAAATTGTGGCAAAAGACACATGAAATTCCTCACCCAACCAGCTTTATGTGTACAGTTCGGGAGTGTGACATGGGTTCACACTTGTGCCCCCAAACACTTGTGCCCCCAATCTCCAGCAGGCATGGAAACACCCCAAACAGCGCTACTTCCATGCATAACAAGCACCCTCAAAATAGATGGACAGACAGACACACCTTCCCCTTCCCTGAGGACTTACATACTCATGAGGACATCCACATTAGATAGACTTCACACAAGGGCAGACCGTCACCTGTTGGAACAGACACATTTATAAACATCGCAAAGATACACATACAGGCTCGAAAGCAGGTAGCAGTAGTGCCCCACATCCTAGGCTGATACCTGGGTCCCTGCTTGGGGAAGGGAGGAGGGAGAGAGCAGAAAGAGCATGTGTTTGCAAGCCTATCTATGTGAGCCCAGGTTTTGCCATCAGAAGTGGTCCTAAAACTTTTAACTTCACAGTGGACACTATCATTACTCTGCCCAAAGATACCTCCCCCGGCACTCACCCCAAACCACAGGGAAGGACCATGCAGAGGGATCCATAGAGGCCTCATTCCAGAGTCTTGCTGGATACAAATACTCATGAGGCCAGGACAGGGTAAGAGGATCCTAGGATAGTGATTTTCAACCTGTGTGCCACAAGAATTTTTAAAACAGTCAATACCTGACTATTTAGTCAAGAGCACTGACCTCTTTTTCCTTAGATTGTCAAACAAAAAAATGATGCCCTGGCTGGTGTGGCTCAGGGGATTGGGCATCGTCCCATGCACTGAGAGGTCCCAGTTCATATGCACAGGTTGTGGGCCCGATCCCCAGTGGGGGGCATGCAGGGGGCAGCCAATTGAATGTTTTCTCTCATCGATGTTTCTAGCTCTCCCTTTCACTTCCTCTCTCTCTAAAAGCAATAAAAGAAAAAAAAAAATTGTTTTAATTAAAATTAAGCCCGGCCTGTGTGGCTCAGTGGTTGAGCATTGACCCATGCATCAAGAGGTTGCCGGTTCGATTCCCGGTCAGGGCACATGCCCAGGTTGTGGGCCAAATTTCCAGTGTGGGACATGCAGGAGGCAGCCATTCGATGTTCTCTCTCATCAATGTTTCTCACTCTCTCCCTCTGCCTTCTTCTCTGTCTGAAATCAACAACAAAAATAAAATTAAAAATTAAAAAATTACAACAGCCAACACAACAATAGCCATCCAGTGTGAATGAATGAAAATTATACTTAATTTTTTTGTCAGATAGCCAAAAAATATAAGAAAATTTTTGGGATATCAGTAATTAATTTATGTGCTATGAGATGAAAAAGATTGAAAATTGCTGTTCTAAGGGGCTGTTTTGTTCTTTGCAGTGGCTGCAGAGGTTCCCATCCTGTAGAAGTCACATGAGGCATTATTCGATCCCCTAAGGATTGACAGCCACTTGTTTTGCCATTATAAGCCACGGTTCACGGAGCGTGTCTGAGTTAGTCTGTGGCCCCCTCGAGGGCAGGATCAGACTGAGCAGGGGTGGGAGGGCACACAGACTTCAGTGGTCCCCCTAGCACAGTACTTCACTTTAGGGTTTGTTTAGGAGTGAGGACAAAGGAAGAAAAACCGGAGGAAGGCGTGAGATGAGAGCCAGGGAGGGAGAGGAAGGGCGGAGCAGAACTGTGGTCCCAGCATGGGCGAGGGAGACAGGCAGCTTGGGCTTGAACCCACTCTGTACCACCTCCTGGCTGCAAGACCATGATAGGCAGCTAACCTAGCCTCAGATTCCTCAGGAGTGGATACAATCACAATCTCCACCTTGCAGCACTTCCGAAGATCAAGTGACTGATAACTGCAGACGTGCAGGGCTGGGCACACAGTAGGTTCTCAGGAGGTGGTGGGTAAACAGAATTCCTGTTGGTGTTATTTCTATCAGTGTTGCTATTTGACTTCTGAGTAGCTGGAAAGAAGTCCAAAGTTCCCATTTTACAGGTGAAGAAGTTGAAGGAAAAGGCCCCCTGCCGGGTCACATAATCCATAACTCACACATGGCAAACAGGAGCTCGTTCAGGGTGCACCTCATTCCCCGGCTCCCCCACCTTAGCTTCTCCCAGGGCATCCTTGCCTTGAGGAGATACCCGGATGTTCAGGATGGGCGCTCCCAGCTTTCCCAGTGAGCCAGCAGTCCAGTATCCAAAGGCTAAGTCAGACTGCCCACACTAGACTGGCATCTGTAGGCACAGTTTGACCATTTCTACTCAGGGCAGTTATGTGCCACCAGTTGGAGGCATGAAGAAGCAACAGAAAACTGAAGCAGGAGCCCCAATGCCACGAGAGGCAAAGCAAGAGACGGTGACTGAGATCTGGATCCTCGGGAACTGCGTCTCCCCGCCTTGCTCCAGATCCTGGAGGGCTTGAGGACTGGCCATGGGTGAGCTGTATGGCCAGGACTGGGATCCAGGACCCTCCTCTAAGGAGACCCCCAGGCAAGGCTACTTTGACCAAGACATCCTCAGAGTCTGACAAGACCTCAGCAGATATTTCGGGATGGGTTCTGAGATGCTCGGATGAGGACAGTGGTGGGATTCATAGCAGCACCCTCAGTTGCTTATCTGTGCTTTATTATAGTTGTGAAAAAAAGCCTTTCTAAAATTTTCTGATAGAAGTAATATATGCTCATAGCACCCCCCCCCCACACACACACACTTTCCCAACCCAGAAATGAGTGTGGTTAACATTTTTCTACATTTTCAGACACATACACTTCCCACCCCCATACTGTAACATTGCTTCTTATTCTACATTTTTTACACTTAAAATATGTCATGAACACTCTGCATGTCAGTAAATATAGCAGAATGTCATCCTTTCTCCTTATATATAGCATGTATATATAAACATAGATACCTCTTAATAGACCTCTCAGTTGATTGATATTTATGTCTGATGATAAGCCATTCTCTATTGCTATTCTTACATCTCATCTGACTGCTTTTTAGAATTAACTCATAGCAGTGCAATTGTGGGATAATGGCACTCTTTACAGAGATTGGATGCACAGAACCAAAGTGCCCTCTGGAAAGGTGCTAATTACACACTCACTCGCTATGTATGATGTTATCCCACACCCTCACTAAAACTGTTACTTGAGAGATTGAATATATTTCCAAAGTGCTTTTTAGCATTTTTATTTCTCCTCGTCATCATCATTCTTGTATTACACTGCACATTTCTGCCATTTTCCCATGTGAAAAAAAACCTGGCAATATATTAGTTATTTTTGCAACTAGATTACAGGTATTTTTCCAGTTTTCTATGTCTTTAACTGATTTCATTTTTTATTGTGGATATATATAAATATATATTTACAAATGTACATTTTTTTTAGTGTACAGCTCAGTGACACTAACTACATTCACATTGTTGTACAACCACCACCATCATCTATTCCAGAACTTTTTGTCTTCCCAAACTGAAACTTTGTACCCATTAAACACAAATTCCCCATTTCTCCCTTCCCCCAGCTCCTGGTAACCTCTATTCTTCTTTCTGTCTCTATGAATTTAACTATTCTAGGAACCTCATATAAGTGGAATCATACAATATTTGTCCTTTCCGACTGAATTATTTCACTCAGCGTAATGCCTTCAAGGTTCATCCATGTTGTAGCATGTGACAGAATTGTTTTCTTTTTTAAGGCTGAATCATATTCCATTGTATGGATATACCACATTCATCCATCAATAAACACTTGAATTGTTTCCACCTTTTGGCTACTGTGAATAATGTTGCTATGAACACGAGCATGCAGATATATTTGAGTTCCTACTTTCAATTATTTTGTGTATATTACCAGAAGTGGATGTCCTTAACTTTTAACTTTGTTTATGACTCTTTTCACATGCAGAAGTTTTACAATTTAATAT